TCATGTACCCTTTTGGTCAGCAGATGGTTCTTGATGACCTGCTGCTTCTCCCACGCTATCTCCGGAGGTAATGTTAATATTTACATATGATTAAGGGTTAGGGTTAGGGTTAGGAACTATCTATATAATAAGAACTATCTATATAATAATTAAGCTCTTTGTAGAGAAAGGAGCATAGTTTAATACACAATTTGGAGTGGAAGCTGGGTCGAGGCAGACTATAATTTCTTAGTCCCCTCTTTGATGCTCTTGGCCCAAAAGAAGCATCACATCCACTCCCTTACACAGATTACACCTCCCTTTCAGGGCAGATGCCCAGTGGCGGTGTAGCCCTGCCTTAGGTCGCCCCCCTCTGGCCAAAGGAGAATCTTACCCGTCTTTGGGTGTACACCTCATGCACACTGGTTACAACTCCGTTTCATTTGAGCAAAATTATCACAGGGTTTTTTTATTATCACAGGGTTTGTTTAAATTTGGAAAATGTTTCTAGGGTTTGGAAGAGGTAATCAAGAACCATCACAACCAACGGGAGCGCTCAATATTGATCATTGAACTATCTGCAATTTGACGTTTCACCATAGAACACATATAACATAACATCATGCATTGGCACATAATTAGAAAGATACAAACACAAACGGCAGTTTTAAAAGTTACATCCCAAATCAAACCAGAGTATGCAATGACTAAATCTCCATCATGCATTTGTTTAGTTAAAGCCTTATCCTTCTCATCAAGACCTTGTTGAGCTTTAACAATGTGGTTATCTTTCCTTTGCCTTAATGACATCAGCATATCATCCAGTTTAGGTAACTCAAAATCAAATTCAGGAAATTCTTCCACAAAGCCCAATTGTTCCTCTGGTTTTACTGACATTGCCTGTTGGGTGTTTACATATGTAAAATTATAATTTCCTATAGACCAGGTTGATTCAGGGGTCATACAAAATGAAGTATCATTAACTGGACAGAATGTCTGGTTATTATCAATAAAAATAGAGAAGTGATTTAGAGTTGTTGTAATAAATGTTCTCTTGTCTGACACGATTACCCTAGTAAAATTATTGTGAAGATGAGTCGCTGAATACAGCAACTGGATATCTAGATTCTGCAGCTTTCATTTGAATTCTTGCATTGAAATGCTGTGTCATTTTGGAAATGATTTGCTCGTATGGTGTATTTACATCTACATGCAGAGCAATGGCTTCTCACATGTGTGAACTACTCTGTGCAATTAATTCAGACTTAAACATGAGATTTTGTTTAGTTGCATTGGGCAAACCACTGTAACAGCTAAACATTTCCCACAACCTGGATGCAAATGCTAGAGGATGTTCTCCAATTTCCATTGTCACCTCAGTTATCTTTCTCAGGTTAACCAAATTAGTCCCAGCAAGTCTAAGTACAGCTTCTCTCCTTGCACCTTTGTCTGCTCTTTTGTCACAAACTTCCTGTGAGAGAGCACTGGTTAATGAGCGTGGTATGCAAATCATAAGAAGTCTACAAGCATCTTCGTCTGACACACTATAAACTTCCACTACCTTCTCCAGTTTTGACAAAAACTCTACAGGATCCATGTTATCAGGCTCAAAAGAACCCACTGCTGTAAGAAGACTTTGAAAGTCCATAAAAAACAGTTGTCTAACAGCTTGGCCATTTTCATTTCTTTGATCAAGAACCCTCTCATTTCCAGTCTGTCTTGTTCGCACTGGTGCTATTGGGAATCTCACAGAATCATCTGAGGAATTATGTCGAATAATGGCTTCCTTGCAGTTCTTCTCATATTCAGAATTGGATTGAACATTTACCAACTGTCTAGCTGTCCCTTCATACAAACATCTAAATGTTTCCATCTCTGTTTCAGACTTTGAAATTTATTTTCTCAATTTCACTCTGTTCCTTCAAAATAATCTGACATGACATTGAAAACAAGTTGCTAAATTGTCAAGCTAAATTCTGTTTTAATTTCTTCTAATCTTTTCTTAGTTACCTTGTATGAGAGAAAAAGAGCTTGAAGTGCATTAGCAACTCTTCCCTCTTTGCTTTTAGGCATTTTGGGACAATTTTTGAATTGAGACATAGCCACTCGTAGGGGTCATCTGCCTTCTCTATCCCATCAAACATTCCCACTTAGCCATGATTAGCGATGTATTTAACTATCAACTCTGCCATTTTCACAATCTTATTGAATTGTGTTCAGCAATTCAATAGGCTTCTTTTCCTTCACTGACTGAACATTATCCAGTTTCTTTAAGATACCTGTTAGTCTATGAACAAGATAGCCACACTACATTGGGTCTCTAAACTTTTCTACACTAAACTGTTAAAAATGTAACACTGTCACAGTAGCCTACGTCGGACAAAACCACACTACTTCGGGTTTTATGTTAGATTTTTAAAACAGTTTACTTCACAGTTCCTCTGGCTCAAAATAATATTTATCAGATTAAAACAGTGCCACAATACGTCGGGCAAAAACCACACTGCTTCGGGTTACTGCTTTAAACTCACAACATATTATTTGTGAATATGATTGCCCTGTTATGCGCATAAATGTTTATCTGTTGAAATTGTCTGTTGTAAGTTCTCTGTTTCTTTGTCTGTGACAGGAGAACCGCGGGCTTTTTCTGGAAGGTAGTAAAAGGATGCGTCCCTTTTTTTGGAATGCAGGGGGGAAAGGGGAGGTGTCCTGAGGTATCTGTGACTGGACAAATGACCCAACGGAATGGCCAGAGGTGTCGTTTCCTGACATTTTTTGTTACCTAATTGAGCATGAGACAGCTGTAAAAATAAACATTTGTCGTTTTGTTTTGCTTAATTTTAACAAAGTGATAAAGACTTGAGTAAAAGCCTGTCATACTTTCTTATTGATATTTTAAAAAGTTTTTTTTAACATTGACAAAACAGGTAACATTAAGGTCCACTGAAGTGCCTTGAAATGTGCAGCGTTATTCTATGTGGTGTGTGCTGCGGCTGCCTAATCATTTTCACAAATACATGCTGTAAAATAAAGATAACATGAAAATATGTATATAAAATACCAAAAAACATGGTTATTGTCACGGAGACACCATCTACAACCACAGAATCAATCACGCAGCCACGCCCTAAATCACCGAAATACTGAGCACCTGCACCTGCACCTCATTATCACACACTATAAGAGCATACTCACCACTCTGACTCATTGGCTGGTTTCAAGGTTACTCCTTCTATGGCCTTCTCTTTGGCACTGGTAAAGGACTGTAACTTACCGGTGCGCATATCATCAAGCTCTTCGTGTGTTCAAAGAATTGTGGATTGGAAACCGGGGGTCTTTGATAACACTGTTCTCATGCACTCTCTGCCACATTCACCTCAGTTGCTGCCACGGAGATACCTCTGTTGATGTGAGTTTGTGTTTACTTAATAAAAGTGAAGTTTACGTTACCTGCATCTCTCCTAGTCCTCGTCTTTGGCACACTGTGACAGAAGCCCAAAAGAGAAACATTATGGAAACCTTCTGAACCGGATCCAGTCACCGAACTCATCACAACGCTTTGCACGGCACTTCAACCATCAGTCACTTCACCTGCCTCCGTCTGTCCATGGCCAAACCAGCAGTGTATTCGGGTGAGGTGTCAGAATGTAACTGATTACAATGTCAATTTTAATTTGAGATGCTTCCCCATCAGTTCTCCGTAGACCACGTGAAGATATCCTGAGAGGGAGTAAAATCTTTGCGTGGCAGGGGCAGCTGCCACCGGACCGGCCACCGCTATGTGCGCCTGCCACCGGACCGGCCACCGCCAAATGCGCCTGCCACCGGACCGGCCACCGCCAAATGCGCCTGCCGTTGTAGGAACTACATTAATATGTATCAATCGGAGTGTAAACAGATGTTTACTCTGTAAAAGAGAAAGATTAGAAGTATATTTAGGCTTATAAAATACATGGAATGAACATGACTAAAGGGAACATTATAATCAAGAGAAATTTAATTTAAAAAAGCCACTTTAACACATTTACTCTAAACGTCCCTTTGTTTGCAAAGCCATTTCTGCCTTCAACCTATGGAAGCCCTCCGTCTTTTTTAGGATGAAGAGGGATACCTTTGAATGACCAAGAGCAGAAAGAGAAGAAAACTGTTTAAAATGCATTTAATTAAATTGTCTTATATATGATTTACCAATGCATTCAAACTTTTTAAATTACCTCAGGAGTTAGAACTTCCAGAAGGTAGGATGTATTACTTAATTCTGTCATGTCCATCTGTGTGACTCTTAATTCTGTCAATGATCCCCTCTGTCTGTTGGCAAAAGGCATTACATTTAGCTTTATTATATTAGTTATATCTGAAGTTAGCTTGTTCCCAAATTATTTGCCTTATTTTTTTTATTGCAATAGTTGCAATTACTAGTTTGTATTTTTTCTCACACACACGAAACCATTTGTTCATCAAAAAAAGAAATTCTTTCATTAAGTCTCATCTTCAGCTTAGGACAAAATGTTGGATGGTTATGCAAAAACATCCTGTTTGATCTTATTTTGCCACTTGTCAAGCCATTGTGTAGTTCCTACAATGTGCAAATAATGGTTATTTTAAACAAAACCACAGTATTTGTTTGAAGCAAGTGTAAAATATGGATATTCTTCAAATTATAAACTTCCAGAAAATTCTGACAGATATGTTTGTAAATGTCAACGAGACACTGCATATGCAAATTAGCACTTTACAAAAGGGAAGTCACATTTATTCAGTTATTGGTAAGATTAGATATTCGTCTTGTTTACCATAATGTCCTGGTCTGTCAATACAGTGTCCACCACCAATCCCTGCTTCAATACTGATAGTGTTCTGTAAAAAGAAATTGGAGGGTTATACAAACATTGAATGTATTTGTAATGTAGTAATTGAAGTTTGTTTGCAAATGTAAAGTGCATACTTATCATAAGGATATGACTGATCAATATCACATGTCAATGGCATGTCCTCTGTCACCATTGCTGGATCAATGCCAGCACAGTCACTGTGCAACCATTTGTTACAACTGTCACACTGAATCCATTGCAGTGTTTTAACATCTGGATGCATGGTTCTGCAGAAGAAATCAAATATAATTATATATAGCTGCTCAATAAATACAGTATAACATGTTAAAATGCAGTATGGTCACTTACTTTATCCGAATTTCTAACACCAAGGTCCTGGGCCATACATCTGTTTTCAGCTTTACACATTGTAATCTTTGGCTGAAAGTCCTTAGAACAGAAGATGCACAAAGCAGTGTTTACTCTTAAACTAAATATTAAATATCATGTTTATTGTATATTACATACATCGGTGTTAGAGGGAAAGCTACCATTAAAGCTTAACTGTCTGCTTTACCTCCGTTTGTAGATTTTCAACCAAACAGGAGGCATGGTAAAGTCGAAGATGAATCAACTGGTCAGTGTGAAGCAACTCAGGAGACATTTTGAGACCTTCTGCTTCCATCTCTGCCATCTATGAAAGTGTAAAGGGAATTTGCTGTAATCATTTTTAAACAGTATTTGTTTACTTTCCCATAGCATGCATTACATAAATATTAATTTATATACAAAGTTGCAAACATAAACTCATAAAACTCTATCCACTCACTGTGCAAACAAAAACACCACAGTTGTTTCCATAATTTCTCCGCCACTGCTGTGGACTGGGAGTCTACATTTCTAAAGGCATCTCTGGAAGAAAGAAATTGACTTAAAGCAGACTGTACCCAAGTCATGAAATGTTTTTAAAATAACTGTGTAAAACATAAAATATGTAATTAAAATGTATTACTTCAGAATGTCCATATCTGAGGGTGAAATGTTCATGTGACGTCCTGTGTTGTCATAAATCCTTATTTGTTTTTCGATCTTGTCAAAAACCTGATGAAGAAATTGAATAAAGAGCCATTTTAAAGCAGTCACAAATACATTTGTTTGTACTTTTTTGGCTTGTCTATAATAACATTGTAGACAAATCACATCTATATACTGTATAATCAAATTTTGTTCCTCATGTAATGAACATTGCTAGAGTTGTACTAACCCAAAGAATGAAGTGGCATCCTGTTTCTGGTGTCCTATCCATGCCAACAATTCTTGGTAGAAGTGTTTTCTGTGCATCATTCTGAAATGAAAGAAATGGGAAACACATGTTCATGAGGCATTTGTGACATTCATAGGATGTAGCGGCAGGATTGCTTTAATGCATTTTATTTGAGAAATTGAACAGTACCTCAAGAATTTTCAGATGTGAATCAGAAATATTTCTTGAAGCCAGCCAGTCCCTGTACCACTAAATAAATGTGTCAGTTGTCAAGGCTGCAACCTGAGGATAGAACTAAATTACATATAAATTGCACTTCTTTCATCTGCTCATAATGCTCGTTTGCATGTATATGGACATGATTAAAACTAGTGAAAAAAAGTAAAGCTTCTGAAGCAGTTACTTACATTCTGGTTTTCTGAGGCAATTTGTGCAATCCGACAATTTACTGTCTTTAAAGCAAAATATGAAGATGCATAGTAAGACAGAGTATTCAAATATATTGTGTATTTCCATATCTACTTGTACATCTTATATATGGTGACAGTTATCTGTATGTGACAGTTGAGTAATCAAGTAAATTTAATCATTATTAAATATTAAAATCATAAGGTAACCATAATTGGTACTTACATTGTCATATAGCCATGGCATCAGTTGGCTATTATTATATAATAAAAGGGGTTGTGACAAGTTGTATGTGAATGTGTGTTATGTTGAATGCCTAAATGTTGTGTTAAGAACATTTACAGATCAGAGGGTTTGTATTCAGATTTTACACTCACCTGGTATATCAAATGCAACTTTCCAGTTGGTGTCTGCTATGACAATGGATGGATGATAACCACAGCGGTAACAAAAAAAATTGTACGAGTACTGCCTTAAAGCACTGAAATGGTAGAATGCCTTTCTTAGCATGTTGATTGGCAAAGCAGTTCTTGAATGAACGAGGCGTAACGAGATATTTTAGCAATGACATCATGCTCTCTCTTCTCAACAACATACAGCTGTCTGATTTTGTCCTAATGATGCAGAAGATGTGTTAATGATTTTATATTCCTATTAATAGTAAGTATTATTACTACTGACATGTGTCAGTGGTGCCAACCAGCACACTTGTTACCTTATTTTTCTCATTAATTGGAAACATTGCCACTGAAAAACGGTAGCCACACACAGTAGCACTGCCAGTAGGACTGTCCCCCTTTACTGGAGCCTGAGGACTTCTGGACTGCTGTTGACTGTTGTCAGATTTTCTTGTGTGTGTTCCTGTAATTAATTGAGAAATAGTAACATAACATTAATAAATTAAACTTTTTAATAAATTTCATATTACAGTGTAATTTTTAATCTTCACGTTCTTACCTGTTTGGCCACATATCAGTTTGCCATCTAATCCAATGTGTATGGCCTCTGCTGTACTCTGTTTTTCCATTTCCTTCATGAAGGAGCTATTCAGTCTTTCATTGTGCGGGTGAAAAAACAGACGTAGTGAGAACATGTAGTGGATGTCCTTCATTTGACACAGTGAGTACCGACTTGAGGAAAGCTCTCTGTTTATTTGTTCTGCTGCTGAAGAATTAATCAGACAAGCCAGATCTGGAATCAGTTTCAGACTACGCAGTCTCTCTTCAGGACGCTTTTGTTTTTTTTGGTGAAATCTGTCATACAGTGAGTACCGGTCTGATGTCCTTGTCTCAGGGTGTGGACATGAGAATTGGTCCATTTCTTTGGGTTCTTCTGCATGTCTTGGTTTCCTCCTGATTTTCTTTAACCACTCAAGATTTATCGTTAACTTTCCTGCAGCTGCCAGTGATATGTTTGTGTCCGTTGGAGCACATACCCTTCCGTCATTTGGAAAAATCTGGAAAAATCTCTGTTGCGTACGATTATTAACATGCCTGGCAACACGTCCAGCGATGTCAGAGATGTACACAGTGGGGGGATATTTAAAACTTAGCAGAGCATCCCCGTGGTCCCGTGCAGATTCCTGCCACCATAATGGTGATGTATAATATACAACACCATGGGTGCAGCCCATGTGTAATACTCCACCTGTGTTAAAGTGACAAGAATGACAAATTACATACATGTTTTCTGCATAGATGATGGTACTTAAACAAGATAAGTAACAAAATTATACTACACAAAATAATTATTGACACTGAAAAACAATATCTTACCTCCAGCTTTTTTCAGCTTTACAAACATTTTGGGGTAAACCGCCTTATAAAGGAGAAGTTCCTCCAGCCTGTTTATAAGGTCTGTTTGTGAGCCAGTTGTTGACACTCCAAGACAGCTGCATACCTTCACCAGGTCTTCTCTTTTGTGCTGTGGAGAAATTACTATCTGTTAGTGTTGTTCATGGGAAAAAAAAGTCAATAGCGATACATTACATGAATACTGTGAGACTACAGGTATAAATATTTACCGATTTATCTTCATTAACGTCCTGGCTTTCACGGCATACAGAGCTCACCCTTTCACTTTGAGAGAGACCTTTGAAAATTTCAGTTTTTGATAGCTTGTCATGTAGTCTTGTGTGTTGTCTAATCCAAGGAGCAAAAGACGAATATGTCAGTGCACTTGAGAAAGGATTGTTAGATGAGTCTGAGGAATATAATTTTTTTAAGATTAACATCAGTTAATTTTGTCTCTACTGCTACAAGGCCCAAGGCTTTACCCTTAATGTTAAAATGTAATATATTATTAAGACACATTATTAACATCAATGCCAATAGTACTGTTAAACAATTGAAACGGTATTTTCATTGGTACCGTCACAAAATCCAGTGGCAATGATCTCCTTTTCCAGGTTCTCCCATCTTGCTGCCACATTAACGAGGGTGTCCTGGAGGCCAATGTTCTGAATGTCCGGGCGTCTCATGAGATTGACTGGAAATTATATAATAAAAGGGGTTGTGACAAGTTGTATGTGAATGTGTGTTATGTTGAATGCCTAAATGTTGTGTTAAGAACATTTACAGATCAGAGGGTTTGTATTCAGATTTTACACTCACCTGGTATATCAAATGCAACTTTCCAGTTGGTGTCTGCTATGACAATGGATGGATGATAACCACAGCGGTAACAAAAAAAATTGTACGAGTACTGCCTTAAAGCACTGAAATGGTAGAATGCCTTTCTTAGCATGTTGATTGGCAAAGCAGTTCTTGAATGGGATTCGATTGTTCTAAACAGACGACCCACAGCAATATGATTCTGTGGAAAGTAAAGTTAATAAAGGTTTTACTCAACTGATCAACAGTTTTGCATGATTATTGTGATATCTTGTGAAACATGCCCTCTAAATATTTTAATTTTGTGTATACTTACTGAAACACCAGCAGTCAGAAGAGAGCATAAAGGGATTGACAGAAAAATTATGTTATTGTAGTTGTGAAACCCACTCTCATATTCTTGAAACCGGACCAAGTTTCTGCAGACAGGACACTCCTTGGCAAAGACAGAAACACCTAGATAAAAAAAAAAATCAACTCAAGGTGATTTTCAAGGTGAGTTTTAGTAAGAAAAGAAAGTTGCTCATTAACCATTACAGAAGTCATTTTACCTTTAAACTGTTTAAATATTCCATAAACAGTTGCTTGCCGGGTGATGACTATTTTGTGTCCAAGATCTGGAGGAGATGGGCCAGGACAGTATGGGCACTGTACTTCTAGTGGTTCAAAGTTTTCAGGAACGGGCTTCTCTGCTGTGGTTATATCCACTGGAAGGTCCTCTGGTATTCTTTTTGAACTCCAGAAGTAGTTGGTTTCCATGATGATACTACTACATGAATGTTGGTGGACGTCATCAGCAGCACTGATCATCTCCTCAACATCTTCAATATCCTCATTTGAGGTGTCCACTGCATTTTGTAACAGCTTGGGATGCTCTTGAAAAAGCCACCACATGGATAAGTATCTATGGACACAACTGATCCGATTTTTAGTACCTCTGCACTGGCAGTGCCACTTACCAGTCTTACTATCAAATGTGCAGACTGTTCTTCCAAACTTACACCAATTGTCCTTTTGGCCTGTATACACAGAAAAGTATATATATCGCTCAGAAAGGCCGTGCTCACCCCAAAAAATAGGAAAGACACAGTCTATATCCTCAGAGTAAGCCTGCTGGTTTACTGCAGTGCACTCTCCAAGTCTCAATTTTGAACAAAGTCCTTTTTCTTGCATCTCCTGCAGGGACTCATTGCGTAGTGCTGATGGAGGACTGTATGATGTTGGTGTCCTGGTCCTTTCTAAGTGAAAACATTCTTTCCCAGGGTTTCCACTGTTTGCAGCAATGCTCATGAAGTCTGTGCATGCCTGCACTTCACAGGCAAATTTTTTTTAAACTTTTTTCTTTTGCACATGTATTGGTAGTCTCATCCCATGATATGGGAACAAAATTCACTTTTGTTGTCACATATATTCCATTCACAGAATCAATGCATATCATTGGTTCCTGTCTGCCATGCTGCTGTCTTTCATGTCTTTGGTAGTTGGATGTGCTGGTGAAATGAATCCTACATTTCTTGCAGAACAGGTTCTCTTCGTGAACTGGGTCAACATGGATGGTGTCCAGGCAGGGTTTTTTGTCATCTAAGAAATAATATGAAATTATGACATTTTCCAATTTATTTCATTTACTGTGTAGGATGGTCAGGTATTATGTGCTGACCTGAGGCTTTTTCAGGGAACATCAGACCTGTTGTTGGCACACCACAAAGACAAACAAACTAAATGTATCATTACAAAATTAAATAATTAAAAAACAAGAGTACAAATTTCAAAATTGACAAAACACGTACCATGTTTTTTTAAGTGGCATTTGAAATCAAAAGACCTTTGAATTACTTTCTTGCACTTTGAACAATGCCAGTGGCTCCTTCTACCACTTTGTCGATCAGGACAGTAACATGGTATTGAGAACTTGCCTACAAAGAGCAATTATGGAATTAACATGACAAGTAATGGATCTTGGATATTATACATATTACAAAATATATTATGGTGATTTTACAAAATATTACATTGCAGATTATTAACAAAAATTCAAAAATTTTTAACAATTACTTGTGTCACCATCTGTAAAGTGAATGGCAAATGTTAGATGCCGTTTGGATATATGATCACTGGATGCTGTAACAGATGTTCTGCAGTAACAGCAGTCCTGATCTCCTCCAAGGCTTAAAAGCTCCTCTTTACTGACAAACTCAAACTTCCTTGCTGAAAAAGAAAAAAAATTGAATAAGCAGACCAAAACACCATCAGGATGACAAAGAATATTTGCTACAATATCACTTCATATTCTAAATCAGTAGTACTAAATCTTCTTTACTCCAAGGCCACCCTCCTCTCCGAATCAATACTGCAAAGCCCCCCAACCTTTTTTATTCACAAAAACAGTTGTAATTCTAGTGTTATTACTTTACAATTTGTTATTATGTTAATGTTATTATTTTTTAACAAAATAAATTAAAGATAGATTTTAATCTAAAGTGTTTTGTTTTTTTGAAACATACTTTGCAAAAATGTCACTACAGAGTGTATTTACAAATTAACAATCCTTTTTAAATTATACAGTAACGTTAACAAATAAGAAGTCAACCTGTCATACCAAACAAGACCACAGGGAGATGCCAAATGACTGCACATAAACTACTAAACATGGCTGCGTTTCCCAAAAGCATCTAGGCTTAAGTACATCATAGACCCATTGAAACCAATGGACCTATGGTCTACTTAGGCTTACAATGTTTTCGGGAAACGCAGCACAGATCCATTCAGAATCATTAAACACACCAAAATGCAAATGAAAAATGAAAACATTCTGAATGTGTGGAAACTCAGCGATCTGAAGGCGGCTCCACGTCATCAGTGAACAGTTTCTCTTTCAGAACAAGCGATCATGTCTGTATTTGGTGTCTGATGCCCGTGTACATTAACACCACTGATCCTCACAAACTTCCATAAAACACGCTTTTCAGCAAACATCCATTCACAGTACATTATTTTTGACAACTACGTGAATATACTGAACTGTGTTCAAGCAGAAATATGATGTTATAATCATGGCCGTAGTCAGGCTTTGAAAATTAGTGAGGTGAGGTGAGGTGGGGGCTTTTTGGATTACTCTATGTTTAAGTGCCTTGCTATTAAAACAAACACAAACCGAAATTATTTAAAATCTTTTGCAAATATATAAATATGATAAAGATATCGCTGACTGCACCTAAACTGCACCTTCCTATTTTATTAACTTTCTAAAGTGTTAAATTAAGTGGAAAAAACAAATCCCAAAAACGTTTATAATAGCTGGATCTGGCAACATGGAGGCTGCTCCCGCGCCCTCACTCACAACTCGATCATTCTGGCAGCGTCTCACAACGATCATTTTCATACCACGGACGCTAAACATTCTTGCAAACTGTCTAAACTAAATTATACATGTCATGCAGACATTCATAACACGAAAACTTTACCGAGGTCCGGACCTCGATGATCTCATGATCAGTGGACCGAGAGCGGACATACACAGTTCGTCATATCACTACTACTCTTACTGAAGTAAGAAATGTTTTTAATGTTAAGAAAATGCTGAATTATTTAGCTTACCTTCCATGTTGTAAATTCTCCAATAATCGTCAACACCTTAAAAAAGTAAAAGTAAATATAGCGATTATATAAATTATTTTTAGCTCCTTTCCATGCAGAACATGTAGCTTCATCCAAAAATACTGTGTACTTACGCAAAAAAAAAAGATGTCCAGGTAATGATCCTTCATGTCCATCGTCCTCAAACCCAGGTTCGTTAACAACCAATCGGATTGCTCGGTTGAACACAGTTTAATGTAGTTCAACCAATCAAAACTTGATATGTTGCATTTCTTACGTGTGAACGCTGGGGGTCGTTGGTGTTGTATTTGTTTGTGGATGGGGTGGCTGGTTTCAAAGCAATAAACGCCCCAGATCGAGGACAGGCCCCCAAAACCCGATGTAACTTGACTAATTTTAAAGTAGTTATTTTTTGATGCCTTTTTTTTTTTTTAGAAATACAAGTCTGCACGTTACGTATGTCATTTTACAGCCTTACATAACCTTTAAATCCATAATGGCGCGTGCAGCACCGAAGCGTCGTGCCTGCCACAACATCTCTCTCTGTTCACACTCTGATTGATGCATATAAACAAACAAACAGTGCATTTCTACATTTATTTACCTATTTGCTACATAATATACTGTAGCATGATCAAGCATGTTGTGTTATAGATAACAATGTGCTTAATGTTAGTGTTGCACTGTATTCATTTTTGTGTTGCGAACTGTTATTGGATGTTCGAGTTGGATGTGAAAAGAGGCTCCGCCCCTGTGTGTGGTGAAAGAGAGAGAAGGAGGGGGAGAAGGGAGAAGGAGTGCATCGCTGGTTCAAGTGCGGTTCTCTTAGAAGTCGGGGTGTGTATGGCGTGGGTTGTGGCCGACAACAGCCCAAATAAACCCCCCTTGTACATCAAAACGCCTCGTCCTTGTCTGAGAACGCTACATACGTTTTCTTCCTCCCTTTAAAAGCATAATGGCGTGCGCAGCACCGAAGCGTCGCGCCTGCCACAACATCTCTCTATGTTCACACTCCGATTGATGCATATAAACAAACAAAAAGTGCATTTCTATATTTATTTACCTATTTGCCACATAACATATGTTTTATTTCTCCCTTTAAATGCATAACGGCATGCGCAGCACTGAAGCGTCGCGCCTGCCACAACATATCTCACGGATTACACTCCAATTGATGCATATAAACAAACAAACAGTGCATTTCTACATTTATTTACCTATTTGCCAGCTTATTCCTCCCTTTAAATCCATGGAGCATGCAGCACCTAAGTGTCGTGCCACCTGTTTGCTATAGTGGTGGCAGGCGAGTGGCAGGCGCAGATAGCGGTGGCAGGTCGAGTGGCAGGCACATTTGGCAGTGAGTGGCAGGCGCATTTGGCGGTGGCAGGTCCGGTGGCAGGCACACATAGCGGTGGCAGGTCCGGTGGCAGGCGCACATAGCTGTGGCAGGTCCGGTGGCAGCTGCCACTGGCAGGCGCAGATAGCGGTGGCTATCTGCGCATTTGAATTTGGTTTATGTTAATAAAGAATAACAATTTAGTCCCTCTGTAAATTCTCTTTGCCACCTTGAAGAATTCTCAGTTACTTAAAGTGTAGACGGCCGGGAAGTAAGAAAACACACAGTCAAATATATCCTCAATACTTCAATTT